AGGGTCATAAACAGCATGATCACAAAAAGCAATAATCACCAAAGGTATAATCATTAGTGCAGTCAGTAACTTACATCACTAACGATTTTAGTTAAACGCATTCACAATTATACAGTGGGAGGGCAAACAGGAACAAGTTTCGAAGGTAATGGAATATAACAGAAAAGGAGTAAACAGTAAAGTGGACTCAAACTTGCTCTCTTAACATTTCCATATCATATATAGGTGGCATGAAGATTACCTTAACATAATCACAAGGGTTGTTGTCACAAAAGTAGTTAGTGACTTTCTACGCAATACTAATAATTCTAACAGTTCTAGCCAGGTACACTTAAAATACCATGCAGTGGGCGGAGAGGCAAGCAGAACCAGTTTTTCTTAAAATGCAATAAAGTGTAACAAAACAATAGAATGGAGTCAGGCCTGGTTTGCCTTCCCACTGATTCTCAGGAAAGAGAATCATATCAAAACGGAGTTAGGCTTGCTTCTCTTTCACCTTAACAAAAGAATACTGGACTACCATTTGTTCAAAAATGCTGCCATTTAAACTGGGGTTCATTCAGGCAACCAAGAAAAAAGGTTGAATTAAAACTAGTCAAATAGCTAGAAAATGTATTGAAAATACTATTAAGTGAAAAATAACTCATGCCATAACTCCAAATACTCCCTAAATAATGTTATATTGTTTTCAAGGTTTTCCTCTAAGTCTAGAAAATGAAATAAATAATATATAATATCTCATTTCAAAAACAAAATAAATAATATATAATATCTCATAAGTGTAGTAATCATTTGTATTCTTCAGAATTCTCTAGATCACTCATTAGTGTCAAAATAGCACCTTAAATTTTCAGGCTTTTATAATAAATTCAATCCTTTTGATAAAAATATTTAATAAAACAAGGGGTAAGTTTATTTTTGTCCTTGCTCAAACCATTATACTATCAAAATTATTAATCTAGATGAATAAAGGTATTGATCTCTCTGTAATATATTTAATCCCACCTATTAAATTCACAGCAGTATCCTCTTCTTTGGAAAGCAGTTTCTCTAATCAAAGAATTAGAAAAAGCAATATGCACAAATTAAATTGTATAACAAAAGTCACTTCAATCTATACTGTTGTGAATAATATTTTATCTGATTACTATGACTGACTGGTCTTAGGTCTTATAAAGAGATACACATTGTAGACCACTAGCTGGGCTCCATTTGATGTGACAAACTCAAAACAGTAACATAAAGCCAGGAAAAGTCTTCAAGTTAAAGGAGACCCCCTATGGCCTTGATATTGAGAAACAGAGCTAATAACTGACACAAGACTTAACTTACATTCTTCAGTCATCTGTATTTCAAGAAAAAAATTTAAATACTTAGCATCATAGCAAATTGGAACTAGACTAGTCTTATCAGACCCCATATCCATACTAATAAGAAAACCCAAAAAGTAATTTTCCCAAATGTCTTAGACCAGCTTAGTGGAAGAATCAAAACTAAAACAGATCTCCTGGTGCCCAGTGCAATCTGTTTATACCAACCTGTCTCCTAACTTAAAACAGATTTTTATATCATATGGAAAATTATACAAGTGCCAAAGATACTTCAAGTGGTAGTATATTTTTCCTCCTTTCAAGAATAAACTCTTAAATATGTTATTGACCTAACTAATAGGAAAGACAGTAAAGGAAAGAGCAAAGGACCAAACTTTCCATTTATAGATACCTTTCATTTGCAGAAAACTATGTTTCCAAATCTTTTCATTTACAGAAACGTACAGATTCTCTCCTATTATACTTTCAGCTCAATTTTCCCCATGTAAATTTATGACAACAGAAGAAGCTTTGAACCATTTTGATTTCCTCCTACTCTGAAAAAGATATTAAGAGGCAAAACTGGAATTGACAGGACCATTAAAACATGACAGCAAGTTTTTAACAGTCTTTCCTCTAATCTGACAGTTTAGATCATTTCTCATTTCACCAAAGCCAAGAAAACTTTTCAACTACAAAGTCAAACTGTTGTATCCTTGAAACCAGAATTGATTTCTGCTCAATTTAAGAGCACAGCATATTGTGACTCTAGTATAGACTCCAGGGATGAGGAATTGTCAGAAATAAGTGAGGAAATATATGTGAAAGTACTCTGCAAATGTGAAATTATTTTAACATATGGAAGGTGCTGTATTTTTTAAAAAGTCTATAATTATGCTGCTGATGTGAATAACATTCACCATTCTTAGTAGTAAATCATTAGATGTATTTCTTTTCAAATCAGGAGCAAGAAAAGGATATCTACTATCATTGCCTCGCTTTCACACTATATTGGAGGTTGTTGTCAGTGCAACAGTACAGAAAAAGAAAAAGAATGAAATCAAAGTAATGAAAGTAATGAAAAAACAAAACTGTCCTTATTTATAGATTATATAACAAGTGGCTGACCTAGGATCAGTGTATTACTGTTTATCCAGTTCTATGCAGGATACACAGAATGGAAACTCAAAGGCATACTGCTAAGTGCAAGGCATTATCTAGTTATTATACTAGAAATAATAATGTTAGGAATAGATTGCATTCAGTGGCATAAAGGGTACACATAGCAGATTTGGGGGATATGGTATGGGAACCATAAGGTAAAAAACTACAGCTCAAATTAGAAACAAAGAGGAAAGAAGAGTGAATATAGAAGCTTAAGAAGAATACTTAATTCTAAATTACTCCTAAGTATACTATCCTATTTATGAGTTTATGACAAGTGCTGTATTATCACCATCTAAGGTTTCCTGGCATGAGCACTGGACTATTAAACAACAGCAGATCAGAAGGAAAAGGAATTGTATCAGTCACAAACTAAGTAGGACCTCAGCAAATGTTGTAGAAATCAACATATATCTCTGCTCATCTCCATTATCAAAAAATGTTGGGAAATTATTTACATGTACATATATTTTAATACAATATTAAAAGCCTTACAACTTTCATTTATTATCTGGAGTATGATTTTGTTTTCCACATCTGCACAAAATTGTATAATTTAAGCTACTTGTCAATAATATAGTATTTTAGATCTACATTTTATAATATTCCTTTCAGAAAGAGCTTTAAAACAATCTAATCATGTAGTAAAATATATGCTGATGACCTAAAATAGCTGTAAGAGCTGTGTAAATGTACTAATAAATATTTTCTTTTTTTCTTCTTTTTACTAATAAATATTTTCTAAAGAACTTATTGTTAGATTATTATTTGAAATACCAAGCAAAGAGTACCAACTATTTAAAGGTGTCATATTGAACTATTATTCTAGTGTTTAGAAATGATTCAGATAGTTCTCTTCTAAATATTATATAATGAGGCAAATACTATTTTTACTACAATGGAGCAAAATTTTAAGTCAGAAGCTGCAAGCACATTAGAACCATCTGTTTTAGTTATAAGAAGAAAGTCTAGTATCAATCAGAGAAAAATTGAAGGGAAAATCACTGACAAGCTGAAAATATACTAAATGCTAGGGGAAAAATGTTGTTCCATATGCCATAAGTCAGACCCTTCTAAATAAACTTAGAAACTATATAAATTTTCCCAGCTTCTTTACACAAGCCAGAATTTAATTAGCTTGTAAAATTTCAAAGTGGCACAAAAAGATTTTAAATAAATACCTTTGCCTTTTACAAGCATATAATGGATATACTGCACATTTTTTGGCATTGTCCAATAGTCTTTCATACTTTTTAATGTGGATAATGTATCATTTTCCAGAGACCAGTACACTCTCAAATTTTAAGTTACTTATGTATTTCTAGCTCTGAATGATATATTCATATAAAAATAGATTTCTGATCAGTGTGTATTTATATTCTTACAAAATGTGTTAGATCAAAAAATATGACAGAAAGAAAGAAAAAGAAAGAAAGTCAGAAACAGGCAGAGGGCAAAACCACCTACACTCAAGAAAGACTTTAATGAAAGCTGTGCCATTTGTAGAATTAAACATCAAACCTACTTGGTTAGAACATGTAGGTGATTGCTTTTCTACATGCTTGCTTTTTAAAATAATAAATATAAAATGACATAGTTTTTGAGCATACTTCTGACTACCTACTTGCTAATATTTGCTACTCATTAAAAAGGCTAAATTTGACTAGTCAGGAACTGATTATCAAACTTACAAATGGACCATGGCATTTGCCTTTTTCTCCATAATAGAAGCAAATTTTTATGTAGTTCACTAGTCATTAACAACCTCTACCAGAATGGTAGGAAGAAACTAAGTGAGTATACCCACCACACTTCATTCTGTATTTCTGATATAACCTTGAAAAACTAATAACTTAATAGCTATTCTCCACTGACAGAAACAGACTCTTTTGTATCCAAGCCGAGCAAATTTAGTGAAAAACAGAGAACAATTTTTCCCCTAGGTCAATTAATATAGAGGAAAAAGAAAGATTTCAAAATGGGACACAAAAACTGTCCCAAAATATATGATGTAATGTAACTCAGAATATATCAACCCTATCAGAGAATTTGCCAGTATTCAATAATAGTCTCCACATTGATTGCCAGTATTCAATAATAGTCTCCACACTCGCCTATTATAAAAAAAAAAAAAAAATTGAGACAAGTGCTGTATTACCTTGTCAAAAGGGCAGAGTCACCTGGGACTCCTCTGAGCCTTCACAACATAGCCTAAGAGGACCTTCTGTTCCTTTGCTGTCAGCAGGAGAACAAAACTGAGGCTATGCAGCACCTCTTGCCTCCCCCCTCATGTGCAGATAGGGAGTACACAGCCAAAAAAGTCACCTTCTGGGCTCAGTACTGTAGCTCCGGTAGTGTGTGTATAAAGCAGGGAACACAATGTAGTGCAAAAAAGAGACAAAGACAGAAAAAAAAATCTAAAAATATTGAATAGATTCTTAAAATTTCTTTAGATTCCTAAATTTTCCTTAGAAATCCTTAAATGGATTTCAAATAATTTAGAAAAAGTGAGATAGAGATCCCTACCTTGCAGATCTTATAGAGTGATTCCTGACCATCTCCTCCAGTATCTTTAAAGTAATCATGTGCAGGAAATGTACGATGAATATCTCGAGTAATGACACTTTCCTGGGCTGATTCCTAAAAAGGAAGAAAAAATAGACCTGAATATAAATTTCTAAAATTTTATGATTATGAGAAATAATACATTCACTGTAAAAAAATTCAAACAGCACAAAAAAGTAAATAACAACTTCCCCACACACTGAAACCTCCTTTCTAACACACCCTTAGTCCCAGTCCTCAGAGATAAGTGCTACCACAATAGCTTCTTTCATACCTTTTCACCCATCTATCTATAGATGTATGAGTGTGTATGTATGTTTATATGGGGCGGGGTGTGTGCAAGGAGGGAGACATGTTGTATACACACATCTCCATTATCTGTTCCTTTTACTTTTTTTCTCCCTGCTCAATATGATCTGTAAGAATCTTTTATTTAATAGGATAAATTATAGACTGTTCATTTATCAAGGTATGCAAATGTCACTTAGTCTCTTTAGGAGCAGTTACTAAAAAATTAAGTACATTTAGATATAGATATCATAATTTACTTAACATTCTCCCATTAACAATCATACTTTCTGTATTTTTTTCTACTTATGTAACAGCATCACAAGGAACTTTTTTTTTTTCTTGAGACAAGAGTTTCAGTATGTTGCCCTCCATAGAGTGCTGTGACTTCACAGCTCACAGCAAACTCTTGGGCTTTAGCGATTCTCTTGCCTTAGCCTCCCAAGTAGCTGGGACTACAGGCCCTTGCCACAATGCCTGGCTATTTTTTGGTTGTAGTTGTCCCTGTTTGGCAAGCCCAGGCTGGGTTTAAACCCACCAGTCCTGGGGTATGTGGCTACCGCCCTAGCCACTGAGCTCCAAGGCACCAAGACACAAGGAACATTTTTATACATGTGTCTTATAAACATATTCAAAGAAAGATTCTGTGAGCATGAATTGCTAGGTCAAAAGATACATGCATTTCCAATTTTGATTAAAGTACTCTCTCTGAAATTGTTCTATCAATATTTACTCCAAACAATAGTACAGTATGTATATCTCCACATCTACCCAATACCACATATTATTTAATTTTTAAATCTGACAAGCTGATAAATATAAGCTCAAACCATAGTCATTTAAAAAGTAAAAGTATTATCCATTTTTCCTCTTGCTAGGTTAATTATGCAACTCATTTCACAAAACAAAAAAGCCTATAAGCCTGTAAGCTACTATATTAAGATGACATATGCTTTAAAGACAAACCTAGAGTTTTTTTAGACATATTTGGGGCTCAAAAGCTAAAAACTGAGTAAAATTCTAAGCTTCATAAAAAATGATTAATCATTCCTTGATTTTATTTTATTCCAGGAAATGTTTATCTGTTTTAATGTCAAGAAAATAAGATGGGACTACTTAAAGCAACTCTGATGGTGAAAATATTTTGTACAATTGAAAGAAGCATCAAAGATTACTAATTGCAAATTAAAAGCATTGTTTAATGTCTTGCATCCATAAAAATTTCAACAAATCCCTCTTTTAGTATCAAATCAAGACAGGAAAAAAAAGTTTAATATGTGAGTTATTTTAATAAATGCTATTTCCCTTCCTCTTTATAGCTGAGGAGTATACAAGAAGGACAGGGCAGCTGATTAGCTTTAAGCGAAGCCAGTACCTTTTCAAGCTGCCTTTTTCATTTTAGATGCTATTTCATGCTGGGTAGTAATTAGATCTTATATCATGTAGAGAAAGAAAGGAAGTAAACTGAAAAAGTTCCAAATTTGCAAGCAAACAACAAAGATATTACAAATCAATCCAGAGGAAATTCTAGTGACTTACAGCAACGGAATGCTAAAGCCAAATTAAAATAGACCCATAAGGCCAAGCAAGGTGGCTCACGCCTGTAATCCTAGCTCTCTGGGAAGTGGAGGTAGGTGGATTGCTTGAGCTTTAGAGTTGGAAACCAATCTGAGCACGAGTGAGACTCCACCTCCACCACAAACAGAAAAAATTAACCTGGCACCGTGATGGGCACCAGTAGTCCCTCCCAGATACTCAGGAGGCTAAGGATCTGCTTGAGCCCAGGAGTTTGAGATTGAGCTTGAGTGTGAGCTATGATGCATGGCACTCAACCCAGGGTGACAGAGTGAGACTCTGTCTCAAAGGGAAAAAAAAGCCCTTAAAGAAAATCACCATAAAAAAAAAAAAAAAAAAAAAGAAAATCACCATAACTTAAGTAAAAGAATACCTAACTCTCAAAAAGTGTGCCTAACTTTCTCCTACAAAAGGAAAGTTTGTATTTTTCAAGGTAAATGCAGTTTTGGGAGTAGGAAGGGGATGCAGAACAAAGTTAAGTTTAAAGGTAATGTATAAAGAGATATATTATGAAATTTTGTTTTATCTGGTCTAGAGTATAAGTATGAAAATCTGGTAACCAAAGAGACCAAAGTTTTCCCAGGTTTTCTCTAATAGGAAGGTTCTTTTCCCATATAGCAATAGTTTCCACTCATAAACTACCTGGAAGATGACCAGTGAAAATGTTACTACTGCCATTGCTGAACTATTTCAGGTGCAGACACCCACAGGATAACTCTTTTCATACTTTTCAGGACCTTAAGAGAGAGAAATCATATGACTGTATTTCCCAGAAACTGCTTACACATTTAGTATCACACTGAGTTTAAGTGGTACCAGTTGTCTGATTCATAGAAAGAAAAATTGATCAAAAATTTCTAGGAAGTAAATTTGCATAATACTGGGTAATTTTTCCCTATGCGTACTTGATCTTCCTTGTTTAAGAACTAAAGGAGCAAAATGAAATGAAAATAGCATCACTAGTTTTTTCTTACTTGATAAAACATCCCTCCCTAAGATTATTTTTAAATGCTTTCTACATAAATGTGTATTTCTAGAGTTTTATTCTTTTATATATTACTCTCAGTTGGATAAAGGAATAATTCCTGTAATTTCACTTTATAGACGAAATAAGCTATTTTGCAACCTTGTTCACTGATTCCCTTCATATGAGTAAAGGTTAAGAGGTATAATAGACTTTTATAAACAGATTAATAGGAATAAAATTGTGTACTAAAATAGTGAAAATCTAAAGAAAATAATGGTGTTTTGAAGCTAAGCTAAAGTTAATCCACCTCTCAATTACCCATAACAGTCAAGAGCAGGAAGAGTACATATTTTAGTATCTACACATAATCCTCTAAATTTACTCATTCATTCAACAAAAGTTTGAGAGTCCCCAAATCTAACACTCTCCAAAAGGAAGACAAAACAATTTTCTCTTCAATATTAATTCCTTTCTTTTTAGACTTAACTTCAATTATAGTGGCCAATTTTTATAGTAAATAAAATTAACAATGAGGAAGGACAAAACAGGGCCAAATAATTCACCATCACAGTGTCTGGTTAAAGAGTTGCATGTGAAAACTTTTTATTTTTATATGGTGAAAACCAGTTTGTACATAACCCAAATGGATATGAAGTTATTTACTTGGAAGGCTCCCTTAAGCTGAGACTTCCTAAGTCCTGCCAGTTGTCTCCAGACAATTGAGAAGAGGGAAGAAACCATTCCTTCTTGGGCAATGTCTAGACTCGCAACTTGCCACACCATTTACTTCTCAGTGGATGCCTCTCCTATTCTTCTCTTCAGAGTCCAATATAAAGTTTTAGTAGCTTTGGAGCCAAACTCATTGATTCTATTTCTGCTTTCCTCAAGGTCTACAGGATCTCAAACAAGTTATTTAAACTTGCCAAACTTGAGCTTCCTCGTCTATAAAATAGGATAATACCAAATGTATAATGTTATTTAGAATAAAATAATATGTGCAATGTGTTTAGTACACTGCCCAGTATAAATTGAATACTTGTTAAATAAACATTATTCTTAATAATCATTCCCCCTTTCCTTAAGAATTACTACTTAACTATTCAAATTTTGGGTACATATACATTTTAGACAATTTTCTGTACTTATATACTTTAAATAATTAACAATTGTTTGGGGGGTTTATAAAACAAATTGCCCTAGAGATTTATAGCATGAAGATGTATTAAAGAATACAAACTCTGTTTAATTTCCAACCTTATATCTTACTGTCCTAAATTATCCCTGTTTTTAGCAATCCATTAGTTAAAGCAAAATGCATAATTATTTGGATAAAGCACTGTTTTTATTAACCGATATACACTCTGGCTCCAGCTTCTCATATAACCAATACACTAGAGAAAAGTGTATACAGGCACAGGCAGAAGGAGGAGAGGAAGGACAAAGCAGAGTAGAAGCTAAATTTGCCAGAGCAGTCATCATTTCTATCATTACCTTAGAATTCAGTTTCTAGGGATTAGAGAAGGGTTGAAGTCATGGTTATAGAAAGGACAAATACCATTGTCGTAAGAACACGCCTCCCTTCTGGACCATCACCACCAAAATATAACTCACAGGCAAAGTCCTTGAGATCTGTCTTAGTCAGGCTGGGCCATACACAAAGAAGCTGACTCAGACCACAAAGTAATGAAAGGTTTGTAATAAAGTCTGAAAAGTTTATTCAGTTTATGCCCTATACTCCACAACCCTCCACAACCACATAGAAACTAAATTTACTTTTCAAGGACTTCTAATTTCTAAACCATTAAGTTATAAGACTAAACTTATCTTCAAAAAAGACATCAATCTCTAGTGGATAAAATTCAGCTTGCTGAAGAGCAGTTTAAAACCATTCTAAGAGGTATAATAAACACCTTGTTTAACTTTTGATCATTTTAAAGTAGGTTCAATTTAGAGGCTGCTATCAAGAGTATTACAAAGCTGCTTTTTCAGTATACTTATATATCCTGACATGTTTACAATTCTCTTAATTCCTATTTGAAAAGAATCATCACTTGCTTTCATGTTGTGAGAAAGAAATAAATGCAGTGCACAAGTGTCAACAAGGATTAGGAAGACAGATCTGGATGACCATACCCTTTTTTTTTTTTTTAAATGAAACCATTTCTAGGCTGTCAACAAGTAGAAAGGTATTCTAGTGAGAATGACTATTTTCATATTTAACCTCAGCAGCAGCAGCACAAGTACA